TAGGCGGGAAGTGGGGGGAGCCCAGGACCACCACAGCGGGTCCTAAACTGGGGGCGGGGAGCCGAGTCCTCCTGGCCTGACACCCTTCTTCCTTTGAACCTCACCAGGGTATGGAGATCGTGCAGACGATGAACAGCGACCCCGGCCTGGCTGTGGGTGAGGCGAGGGGAGGCCAAGCCTCGCAGGGCTGCTCGGGGGGCGGGGCCGGAGGAGCGGCGGGACTGGGGCGGGCCTGGACTCAGGAAAGGCGGAGCCAGGTTAGGTGGTCTGGACTCGGCTTGGGCGTTCTGTACTCCGAAGGGGCAGATCCGTTCGGGGAGGGATTCGGATCCCGGTAGGACAGAGGCTAGCGTGCCTTCCTCTCCCCAGGTTACACGGCCTTCAATGGCGTGGATTTCGAAGGCACGTTCCACGTGAACACTGCCACGGATGACGACTACGCTGGTTTCATCTTTGGCTACCAGGACAGCTCCAGCTTCTATGTGGTCATGTGGAAACAGATGGAGCAGACGTACTGGCAGGCGAACCCCTTCCGTGCGGTGGCAGAACCCGGCATCCAGCTCAAGGTGCTGGCCCCTTCCCGAACTCTTGGTTTCAGCGCCTTCTCTGAGGCCCCGACCCTTCCACAGATCCACAAGCCTTACAGTCCCTGGCATTATCCTAAGGCCCTCAAAGTCCTTTTACCAAAATCCTCCCAGGTCCTCCCACAGGTCCTCAAACATTCCCCCAGGATCCCCTAGTCTTCCCGTGGGCACCCAAACCCTCTCACAGAGCCCTAAACTTTCTCTCAGGTTCCAAATCCTCCTGCAGACTCCCTAGAATAGAATAGATGTGCTCAGTTGTGTCCGACTCTTTGCAACCCCATGAACTGTAGCCTGCCAGGCTCCTCTGTCCATAGGATTCTCCAGGCAAGAATACTGGAGTGGGGTGCCATGCCCTTCTCCAGGGGATCTTCCAGACCCAGGGATGGAACCCGCATCTCCTGCATCTCCTCTATTGTAGGCGTGTTCTTTACCACTAGCGCCACCCGGACCCCAGTATTTCACTGAAACCCTAAAATTCCCTAAGTCCTCTATACTCTAGTTTATCCTACCGACCACTGCTGCCCCTATAACCTACCTGCAAACCTCCATGTGGCCCTCAAGGCTTCCTTGGGAGTCTCCCATCCAGGCATACCAGGGACCCCCCACCACTCCTCTATGACTCAAAGCTCCGTGCCTGTCTGGGGGCCTTGTGGCCTGTATGGCCCCTGACCCCACTCCCCTCTTCCTGGGTGTGATAGGCTGTGAAGTCCTCCACAGGCCCTGGGGAGCAGCTTCGGAATGCACTGTGGCACACGGGGGACACAGCGTCACAGGTGCGGCTGCTGTGGAAGGATCCCCGGAATGTGGGCTGGAAGGACAAGACATCCTACCGCTGGTTCCTGCAGCACCGGCCCCAAGTGGGCTACATCAGGTGGGAACCCGCCCTCCGCCAAGGGGCCCCGAGTCCCTGCTTGTACCTGGCTCTTGTGGGAGGGGGTTGCTTCCGGGGGCCTTGGTCCCCTTACCTGTAAAATGGGAATAATATAGGCAGAAATAACTGTTTGGCCCGGTGGCTATGATACCGCTCTGAGGACGTGGGGAGGGTTCAGGTCTTGCAGAGAGCTGCTCAGTGGACGGGCCCAGAGAGGAGGCGGGACAGGGGCGGGCCTGGACTCCGGAAGGACGGGGCCAGGTTGGGTGGCCTGGACCCAGGCAGGGCTGGGGGGTTCTGAATGCTGCACATACATAGCAGAAGGTGGGGTCTCACCCACTCCCTGTTTCTCAGTTCCCACTCTGCACTGCCAGGAAGTCCAGGTGCTAGGTTTAGCATCTACTGTATGCTCGCCCTGCACATCCATCCTCACACAGGGGAACTGAGGCTCAGATCAGGAGCCCCCTCTGCCCTGAGTGTGGCCCAGGCAGGGAGACACAGTCCCCTCTCCTAGACAAAAGAAGCTAGTTCACTGGGCAGGGTGCTGATGCTCTGAGAGGGGAGGGCCTGGCCTAGGGCCCCGAGTCATGGTCCCCTCCTCCCCCGCAGAGTGCGATTCTACGAGGGCCCAGAGCTGGTGGCGGACAGCAACGTGGTCCTGGATACGACCATGCGGGGTGGTCGTTTGGGCGTCTTCTGCTTCTCCCAGGAGAACATCATCTGGGCCAACTTGCGCTACCGCTGCAATGGTAAGAGGACCCCCATCAGGGAAGGCGGGGAGTCTGCACCCCTCACCCTCACCCACCTCTCACCTGCTCACCCTCTCTCCACAGACACCATCCCTGAGGACTACGAGGCCCAGAGGCTGCTGCAGGCCTAGGGATGGGGTTGGGGACCCACCACTGGATGACAGCCACCCTCGCGGCTGCCCTCCCCATGGGAGGTCATCGGCACCAGGCCCCAGGAGGCAGTCGGCCTGGGGGGGAAGGAGAGGGGCTCAGGGACGACAAAATAAATTGTGTCTGTGTGGCGGAGGGGCTGGCTGTGGCCTCTGCTTCGGGGAGATGATAGGGTCGAGTCTCTGAGGGGAGGCTGGCCCAGAGACCCCAAACTCAGGCAGTGGGGGTGGGGACTGCCACTGACTCCCCGCTGACCGGCTGGGGCCTTGGCAGCCTGACTGGGGGTGTCAGGCCTTGATTTGCAGGCCCCAGGCCCGCTGCTTCATCCCCTCCGTGCCCCTGGAGCATCTGGGCTGGGATCCTGCGGTGTGTGTGTGTGTGTGTGTGTGTGTGTGTGTGTGTGTGAGGGGCTCAGGCCTGGGTGTCCGTGTTCACGTGTGTGTGGTCTCTGGGCGGCTCCCACCTGGCGCACCTGCAAAGCCGACATCTCATCCTTGAGGCAGGAGAAGAGGGGAGGAAAAAAAGGGAGGAGGCAGAGACGAAAACAGTGAATTTTTATTACGTTTCATTACAAAGGATGCAAAGGTACAAAGACGATAGCGTCCACACCAGAAAGGATGGGCAGGGGCTGGCCGAGTGCGCCCTGAGCGCCCGCCCCTGCCCGCTGTGGGCACCCACGCGTGCAGCCCACAGGACATCTACGGCACAATGTACATGCTGGGGGGGGGCAGAGCCAACCTGGGGAGAGGGACACAGGTGGGACAGGGCCGGGACTGGAGGGTGTGCATATATCAGTGGCACTGCCCAGCTCCTGGAAGGGGAAGGGCAGTTTCCTGCGGAGGGCGCGGCAGGGTCAGCGGACCTCAGCTGCCAAAGCCCTCCCTCCCGAAGTCCGGTGGCAAGTGCCACAGCTGTGTCCCCTTGTCCCCAGTTGGCAGGAGGTCAGAAATGACAGGCTGGGCATCGACTGCCCCCAGATTCCACAACCCTGTGAGAGGAGGGCAACCCCCATGTCTGGCTCCTGGGGACAGGGTGCTGGGCGCTGGTCAGTTGGGTAGAAGGTGGGGGGAGCTGCCTGGAATCAGCTCCCAACATCTAGCCCCTGTCTCCTACCCTGCCTGGGATGAGCCTGGGACCCAGAGACCATGGGCCTGAGCTCCTAAGGACAAGAAGGAACTGACGCCTGGGTCGCAAGAGTCTTGCCCACCCCCTGGTGCCTTCAGAGGTACCCCAGTGCCCAGGCCTGGGGGTGCAGGTCACCCTGCCTCTGCTGGGGGAGAACTCCTGTCTGTGCCAGGCACCTGTGGCACAGCAATGGTTACGAGAGGTGCCTGAGCTCCACCAGCCAGGACCCCCAAAAGCTGAAGGGAACCAAAAAGAGCTAGCACAGGCCAAAGGAACATCGCAGGGACCTCTGTCATACACTGAGAGACCCCCTTGGGGGGGGGCCCAGGGTCCACTGAGAGCGGAACAGGGCAGAAACAGAACGGGCTGCCCACTCACCCCAGGCAGGCCTCCCAGCGTAGGCGAGGCACCCAGTCCCCCCCGCCCCTCCAGCTCTTCAGGTGGTGCGGCGGGAGTGCAGGCTCCGGCGGCCACACCACCCTCACCTGAAGCATCATGCCCAAGAGCACCAGGTACCGTTGATCTGGCACCTCTGTGCCCTAACCCCACGCCAAGGGTACCCCTAGGCCTCTGACCACAGCTCCCTCAGAACCCAAGGAGTGGGGGAGTGCTCCCGTTTTGTCACGACTGGGGTGGGGGCAGGGGAAGTGGAGGGTCTCCCAACCCCACCAGGCCTCACCACACCCAGCCTGCACCCTGGGGTAGGGACACCTTCTTTGGACATGCAGGAAAGTCAGAACCCGGAGTCGGGGTAGGAGGTCGGCAGCATGTCTGGTTATGAACTAGCTCAGGGTCAGCCCAGGTGTGGCAATCTGGGGAGAAGTGTAGCATCCCAGGAGAACTCAGCCCCCGGAGGGCTCTGGGTCCACAGAAGCCCAAGGAGCAGTGATCTCAGGGACTCTTCAGGCCCCAGCCGCTGGACAGAGGGCGCCGTCCCCACTGCCTGAGCCCTGCCCAGCCCCGCCACGGGCCTCACACCTACCCCCATCTCCCGTGACCAGGCCGCAGCCAGCCAGCACCTGGCACACAGCCCCTACGCCGGACAGCTACCCTGGCAGGACGGACAGACGACACAGGACCGCTCATCCTCCATGCAAGGGTCTCACCAGCATCTGATGGACAGACAAATGGGCAGCCATCCTAGCCCACCCCCATGTGACACATGGGCTTCATGACAGGCCCACTTGGCCAGCCATCCTCCTCGGAGGTCGGCCGCCTGAAGCAATCAGGCCCAACACACCTAGAATGTCATAACTCTCCTGGCTCAGCCCTCAAAATCCACAAGTAGGTAACAGCACATAAAAGCCAGCCAAGCACCCAGAGCCGGGCTCCCAGCCCCTGTGCACGCCCAGCAGGCAGGCATGTTGCCCTATGGCCAGTGGGCAGGCTGGAGGCTAGCACAGAGGCGGCGTTAGGGAAAGGGCCATGAACACACCCTCCGGCCCCTGCCTTCCGGCCTGCAGGCCTGCTCCCAGGGAGCTCTGTGGACCGCAGTGGGGGTGGGGGCTGGACCCAATGCAATCAGGGTCCCTTCTGCTGTGCGTCTGTCCCCAGCAAGGAACCTGGCCAGCTTTTGAGTACTACTGGCTGTGGGTCCCCAAATTTTGCTGAAGGATATACCTGCCCCTTGAGTTTTCCACTGAGGGTCTCAGGGCCCTCTACCCCAAGGGGCTGGCCCCCAGCCTTCTTGCTCAGGAGAGTGCTGGCGGGAGCAAGGTGAGCTGGGAAAGTGGAGAGGGTGCTGCAATCTACCCCAGCAGTGCTGTCGTCCCCCCTCTGGTAATGGCACGCATCCTCACGGGCACCTGTGACAGGGGTGTGACCCAGAGACCCACCTTCTCCTCCCCCAAGTCCATCCTGGGCACTGCAGGGGGTGAAGCTGAAGGGCGGGGGTTGGGGGGCAGGGATATAAACTCTCCTCTCTGGGCAACACAGAAAGAGGCTGATCCCAGGTCCCATCCTCATGGTGGGGACACACTCCCCATCCTGGGGGCTCAGAGGACAGAGGGCAAACCGAGGCATGGCGCGTGCTCCCGAGGAACAGATAAGGGGAGTTCAGCCGCAGCGAGCGAGGACGCGGTGGCGGGTCTATGTACACGACACAGGGGCCCCGGCTCACCCCTCACGGCGCAGCTCGCCTGAAATCACAGTATTTTCACATCACAAGTCAAAGGGCTGATTCCCCTAAGCTGTCCTGTTTCTAAAAGTCTTGGCAATTCAAGAATACTTAGTAGAGAAGTGATATTTAAGAAAAAACCCAAATCCCCTGTTGTAGACCCCCCTCCCCACAAAGGCCTGCCCGGCGCTAAGAGGGGGCAGTGAATCCTTTGAGGATGCCTGGCCACTGGTTTCTGGCTGGGTCCCCTCCCCAGGAAAGCTCTGCACCTACGCCCCTCATGGGCCGAGGCTGCCATGTTAATACAAAGTCACCTGTGCTCCTGGCCAAGGGGTGCTAGAAATGGGCCACGGGGCTGGACACCCCTCCTTCCCTGCCCACCTGCACCAAGAACCCAGTGCTGGGCTGATGGGAAGTGCGGGCTGACGGGGTTCCCTCATGGGGTCCCCAGTGCCTTGTTTGAAAGTTGCATCCAGGAAGGTTGTTTGTAATTTTATTAAGGCCATTTTTTTAAAAGTTCTACATACAAGTCTAATGGTAATCAAACCCTTCTATGTACATGTATTTCTTCTTAAAAAAACAAAACAAAACAAAACCAGTCCCCATTCTTTGCCCCCAGCCCCCACCACGCAAAGAGGACAGGCCCCTGACCCCGATGGACTGACACTGTGTCCCCCAGCCAGACAACAGCGGTGGGGGCCAAGTGACAGGACAGGGGGCTTCCCGTGGGCGTGGCCACTTGGCTATGTGCTAACAGCCCAGCTGGGGGACGAGAGAGGGACGGCCACGAGGCGGGCGCTCCGGAGACCCTGATGGAGGTGGAAACGCAGCAGGCAGGAGCGGCCAGCCCGGCTGGCAGGCAGAGGAACAAGTAAGAACTCAAGATGCGGTGTCGGAGGGAACGAAACAGAGGTTCCGGCTCCAGAGCAAAACAATGCGAAACCAGGCCTGCTGCCCGCTCACAGGGCCTGGAGGGCAGACGGACGGCCTCTGGGGCACCAGTGAGCCGGACAGATGGTCACCTGGGCCTCCTGAGGCACTTGAGAAGCACCTGGAAACCATCCTCTGAAATGCACACCGCTCTTTGCCTCCAAGGCCAGCCCTGCCTGGAGGGGCCACCAAAAAGATGGTGGGAGAGAATGAATGTTGGCTGGTTCTCGGGGCGGGCTTGCCGGGGACAGGCTCGTCTCTGGGGCGCCTCAGAGCAGAGGGGCCGCAGCTGCCGCCAGCCACGGGGTCTGGGGCGGACCCACCCTGAGGACTGGCTGGCACCTTCAGGAGACCCTTGATGCAAGCCGGGGCTCCTCCTCGGAAGTCGGTTATGGGACCGGAGGGGAGGCACTTCCGGCCGCTGCTGCCAGCTTTCACCCGAGTGTCCACCCAGGCCCGCCTAACCTCCCATCTTTCTGGTTTGGGATAATGGAGCGAAACTAAAAAGACAGGAGATGCAGCTCAGATCTGGGCAGGCAGCAGGCTGCTTCCAGTTAGCTCACAAGTATATAAGGTTGGATTTCTAGAGTAAAAAAAAAAACATGCTCTCAGGCAAGCGTTGGCTTGAAGGAGTCAGTTACTCATCCACAACCAAAATGTAAATACAAACCAAAAGAAACAAACGAAAAGAAACACAACAAAAAATGCCCTGGCCACCCCCTCCCCACCCCATTCTTTAAATAATAGTAACAGTGACCACAGTACAAAGAAAGAAAGATGAAACAAGTTGCAACCCCCCCCTAGAAATATCTGCCTCCACGTGCGTCCCCGACAGGCTGGGGTGGGGGTGTCACAGCACAGGTGGCCACAGAGGGGCCTGGCCGGAGGGTGGGGGGTGGGCGGGCGAGGCAGGGACCCTGGAGGAGACTTAGCTGCTTCCCATGCTGTTCACATGTTTGCATCCCACCTCCGTGCGATGGATGCTAGCCTTCTGTGTGTGCACAGAAATATAAAAGACAGCAGTCCAAATAGTGTTTATTTCGCTTCACGTCCGCCCCCCTCTCTCTGGCACTTTCTCCCTTTGGCAGGGTGGGGCTGGCTCGCTACCTAACCAAGGGCTGGGGGCACGGGCAGGTAGGGGGACCAGGGACAAAGGAAGGCAGTGAGAGCTGGACAACAGTCGCAAGATGCACCTCAGCCCACCACCGTCGCGGAGCGTGGTGCCCACCGAGGCTGGCAGCCCTGCCCAGCACGCTTCCCGCAGCTTACAGGGGATGAGAGAGCAGGGAGGGTCCGCGGGGGCAACGACGTGCGGCCTCACGCGGGAGGTGGACGACCGGGGGGGCGGGCGGGGGGCGCTTGGCGGCATTGCAAGCTCAGAATCACAAGCTCGGCCGTTTGCAAGGGACGGAGCGCCGCTGTCCCCAGGCTCGGGGCGATGCCGTCGAGACCACTGGCCGGCGGGGTGACAGAGCCGGGGGCTGGGCGGCCATGTGCTGCGCGACCCGCTCACAGACGGTCCATCCGGAAGGTGTCCTCGGTGGCCGGGTCGGCCAGGACCATATCTGGGTCATTGAGCATGTGCAGTCCATCCAGGGTCAGGGGGTCAATCTTGAGTTCGTCCAGGGGGAACTGGTTGTCAGAGTCGAAGCTGACATCACCGACCCCGGCCAGCGTGCTGGTCAGTTCTTTAGAGAGGCTGGGAGGGGACTCTCCTGTCACTGGGGTGGGGGGTACACACAAAAGGCTCAGCTTCGCCCTGGCCCCCGGCACCCCCACAGCCCTGTCGATGCTCGGGCCGCACCAGGAAGCTCACCTGAGCGGTCTGTGCTGCAAAGGACATTTGCAGTGTCTGGGGACAGTTTTAGTTGTCACTACTGGAGGGAATGCTACTGGTGTCAGGGTGGAGGCCAGGGATGCTGCGATGCTGCTCTGCACCCCACAGCACACAGGATGGAGCCAACCCACGTGTCGGGGTGCCAAGGCCAGGAAGCCCTGGGATGAGGTCTGCGACACAAACTTCAGCATCACCTGAAGGGAGCAGGGGGCCTCCCCGACTCTGCCGGGCAGTCCGCCTGCGTGCATCAGGGGACTTGGCTGTGGGCGGCAGGGAAGCCCAAGTTTCCCCGCAGAGACCCAGCTTCAAACCTGGGCTCTTGTAAGATCAGGGACCTCCGTTTCCCACTCTGGGAAATGGACATGTAAGTTCTGGTCTTTCTGGGCTACTGCACAATCACAGAGGCCTGATCCTTCTCACATAACCTTCAAGGCCAAGGCTTCTGCACTCAAGAGTATCTCCTGCAGACCCTGGGGGCAGGCAGGTGGCCCTGGGTCTAGTCCAGGCTGTGGGGGGCTCTGGAGAAAGAACCCTCCCATCCTAGAGATGCCAGCGGGACTGCAGAGAGGGTCTCATCCTCAACCCCATGACAGCCCTAGCTTATGAGGAAACTGCTTCTTCCTTGATAATACTAGAACCTTTAGGGGCATGACAAGGGGGTGGAGAGAAGACTGGAAGGTCTGAGCATGGCTAGGTGAAAATCTGTGTGTGTGTGTGTGTGTGTGAATGTTCAGCTAATGGGGTTCACCTGCCCGGGCAAGCGGGGGACGAGCAAGATGAGAGTGACTGGTTCTATCCTGTCCATACTCTGAGCCCAGGACACTGGACACCTAGTCCAGGGTTCAGGATGTGTACCCCCAGCCTGTATCCTGTAAGCCCAGCAGTGAGTCAAGGTGGGGGTCCTGGCCTCCGTGGGTCTGCGCCAAGGCAGGGATCCCATCTCCCGCTAGGCTCCCACGGGGACACGGACACCGACCCGCACGGAGCACGCCCTGACGGGTGGCCTCACCTGTGAGGATGATGTTGGGGATGCCGCTGTGGCTGGGGTAGCCGAGCTGCTGCGTGTCCGGCAGGCTGCCGTGGCTGCCCGTCAGGCCCATCATGGCCGCCTGGGAGTAGTTGAGCGTTGAACCTGGGCTGTAGAGGCTGCTGGAGCTGATGGCGTTCTCCATCATGTTGAACTGCTCCAGCTGGAGAGGAAGCACGTGGGTGTGAGCCGGCTCCCCCCACGCTGGCCGCCCTGGGACCCTGGCCGTGGGTTGCTGGCCGGCCTGCCTGCGACCGCCAGCACCTCCCGCCCTCTGGGACGCCCGGCACACCCAAGCTTGGGGCTGCCAAGCACGAGTCCCTCTGCCTCGGGGTCGCCCCGTCTCTGCACCTGCCTGGCCTGGCCAGCACACGGCCCCATCCGAGTGCGTGGAGATGGATGGATGGATGGTTGGTGACGTGAGTGAACAGCGCTGGGTGGCAGTCCACCCTTCCCAGGCCCACACCCCCTCCACCCTGGGGTCCAGGCAAAGCCAGTGCAACCTCCCAGCAAACCCACGTGCACGGCCCACACCAGGGCCCTGCGGTGACGGCCACTGCCCATCCCTGCCAGCGTCCACCGCCTGCCCTTCCTCCCCCGCTGTGGGCGGGGTGCAGACGCGGGGCCGGGCCGGGCAGTGGGCAGGCCTGGCGAGCGTCTGCGGCGTGCGCCCGCTCACCTGGTGGGACAGAGCATTGGCCTGCCTGGCCGCCATCTGCTGCTCATAGAATGAATCCCCAAACACGCCGCCCAGGGTGGAGGAGTGCTGCAGACAGAAGAGAGGCCCGCTGTCGTCAGGGCTCCCTACCAGGCAGGGGCGAGGCCAGTGTGGGGGGTGGGGGTGCGCCCCGACCCTCCCCCAGGACCTCACTGCTGGCCTGGGCTGGGAGCCAGGGGAGGCCTCTGCAACTTCCTGGAAGATGCTCGGAATGTGAGAAGCTGACCCCGTCCATCTCAGGGCTCCCGGGAAAGCCCGTGCCCCCTGCAATGGAGGGGTGCACTCCTAACCTCAGGACGATTGCTCCTTTCCACCACCTGATCCTGGGGGGCCTCTGCACCCCAACTTCCCTCAAAGTGCCATCCATCTCCTCTCCGTGAGCCCCAGTATAGGTGAGCCCGTTTTCATCAGATGGAAGACAAGGGGCCACAGGGGGCAGGAAGCCGATGTGACAGCTCAGAGGAAAGCGTGTGACTGGGGCAGGGCGGGGGGCCTCTGGGTGTCCAGGATGCGATGTGCACCTTGTCAGACACGGGAGACAGGGGACATGAGGCAGGCCACACACACGGGCAGGAAGGCTTCAGAGAGCAGGACGAGACAGATACACAGAAGGCCCTGCCCCACCGGCCGCCAGGGCTGAGAGGGCAGAAAGCCCCACTCCAGTTTGCCCAACGCCAGCTGGGGCAGGGGCAGGCTGCTGGGAAAGGAGCAGGGAGCTGGGGATGCTCAGAGGCAGCTGAGATGCCAAAAAAAGGGGCAGGGAGCTCCTGCCCCCTCCTGTGATGCTGCCAGCGAGATGGCAGGAGGGGGTCTGAGGGGTGCAGAAGGGAGCAGAGACGGAGCTGGGTGTGTGGCCAGCTCACAGCACAAGCAACAACCCAGGGAAGCAAGGCCCCAGCCCAGCGTGCGTCCAGGTCAGAGTCTTCACAGACCACAGACCCTGGACCGCCTCCCTTGGAGCACCCTGTTCTAGAAAGGTCCCCGTGTTCTCCGACAACTGCCAAAGCTGAGCTCTCAGGCCTCCACCACAAAGAAGAGTTGGTCACAAAACCACCGGCCACTCTGAGTGTTTAGTGGACTGACCACAGAAAAGGGACAGTCGGCCACTTGGAAGGTGGAACGGCTCCTGGGGATGGACACACCATTAAAACACCAAGGAAGAGTTTAAAGCATTAAAGGAGTAAGGAGGGAGAAAAGCTAGTATGGCAAAAAGGCCACATGTGCCCTAAAAATTGTCAGCTTCAGGTTTGGAAAAGGGGGCGGTGAGGCTGAAGGAGGCAGATGACAACCTGGGCAGAGGCCAGGGGCACGTCTCTCCAGGGCATCTGACCCTGTGCCCATGGCCTTGGCCCCAGCGCCCACACAGGGGACCCCAGCTTCTCTTGTAAAGCTGCCATGAGCGTTTGCCAGAAAGGTCTGCTCAGATGGAAGCAGGGAGGGAACAGAAAGGGCCCAATCCCAGCTGCCTCAGGTCCCGGAGAGGCAGCTGGACAGATAAGACATCCACCCAAGGGTAGGTGTGGCAAGCTGGCTGCCTCGTGCCTCCAGGGGAGATGCTGGCTGGGCCGGGAAGGTGGGGAGCGACCCAGGCCCAGGGAGCTGATAAACGCATTCTCTGAGATCCAGCTTCAGTGGGAAACCCTATCTGCCTTCTGCCATGGTTTGCCCCCAAGCAGAGCCCCTGACTGGGGCTGAAGGGCCTCCCAGGGCTGTCTTCACATCTGAGTGAGCAGCTTCTTCCCCTGCCGGCGCATAATGGATGGACAAACGGACACACAGACACAGGCACGAGGAGACAGCAGCACGCTCTCCGCTCAGGATGGACCGCGCCGGTCCAGGCGGACCTCTCCCGAGAGAGGTCTGCTCTCCTGTAACCTTCCTGTGCCGCCTCACGTATGAGAAGGGCCGTTACTCAGAGACCAGCCCAGGCAGGCTGCCCGCCTGGAGCAGCGCCTTGCATCCCCACAGCCCTCCAGCATCACGCAGAGCTCACAGGATGGACGGGGAGCGCGGCCACCAGGCTGACCCTCAGCGCGCCCTGAGCTCACCGCGCCTTTTCTGTCTTCTGCAGAGCCCAGGGAGAGTCCCAGCCCCTGGCTGCCGTGGGAGGTAGAGCGAGAGGCCGTCCTGTGTCAGTGAGTCTCGGGAACAGGCTCAGGTCTCCCTGAGGGGAAGGTCACTGTCCCGACACGCAGGGCCTGGCTCAGGGTGCGCTGAGAGCCTGCGAGACGGGGGAGTGGGACACGTCCCCCAAGGCCCTGCCTGGAGGAACACTCGTGCTCCACCCGGGAAGGAAAGCCCTGGCTGAGGATGGGATGTCAGGGTCTGGGGCGCTGCAGTGACTCCTGAAGTCTCTCGACTTGGGGATGATCTTGGGGATGGGGTGGCAGGGTCCTGGGGAGGCTTCACTGCTATGGCAAGAAGTTTTGGGCCCAGATGTCAGGTTTTCGGAAACCCCTTCTCTGATGGAAGGTTCTGGACAGAATGCAGCCAAAGGGGGAGCAGCACCAAGGGGGATTGAGGAGCCTGCAAAGGGTGTGTGTGCATGTGTGAGACTGGGGGCCTGTGCTGTGCGTGTGTCAGCGAACCTCTGTGTGTGTGTGTGTGTGTGCATGTGTCACAGACCAGGAACCTGTGCTGTGTGATTGGGGACCTCTGTGTGTGTGTCAGGGAACGTCTCTGTGTATATATGTGTGTGTCAGGGATCGGGAATCTGTGCTGTGTGTGTGTCTGTGTGTACGTGTCAGGGAACCTCTGTGTGTGTGTGTGTGTGTGTGTGCATGTGTCACAGACCAGGAACCTGTGCTGTGTGATTGGGGACCTCTGTGTGTGTGTCAGGGAACGTCTCTGTGTATATATGTGTGTGTCAGGGATCGGGAATCTGTGCTGTGTGTGTGTCTGTGTGTACGTGTCAGGGAACCTCTATGTGTATGTGTGTGTGATTGACCTGTGTGTGTGTGTGTGTGTGTGTGTGAGGGAACCTCTGTGTACGTGCATGTGTGTGTCAGGGGCCTGGGTCCTCTGCACTGCCTCGTATGAAGGGAAACCTGAGTCTGACTGACACGCTCTAGCCCTGCCTGCTGTCAAGGGTGAGCCTCAGGCTCCTCATCCATGCGAAGAGGGCAAGGACCTCGGATGGGCTGCCAGGTGCTCAAAGAAGCTTCCCAGGCTGGAGGCCTGGAGGTGAGAGACACACCTTCACAAGGGGGGGGGGGGCGCTGAGGAGCAGAGCCCCCGCACAGGCTGGCTGTCACTCAGCTGTTCCCCAAAGTGCGGGAGCACCCCTCCACCTCCAGAAGCCTGGAAGCACGAGGTCTCGGGGGCAGACATGGGCAGGGACGGAGCACAGGCTGCTGGAAGCCTGCTCCGAGCCGCCCGCTGGGGTGAAGCTGGCACCGACGTCACTGGCGTGAATGGGGAGACTGCCACCCTGAGCTGGGGCTCAGCACGGGCTGCAGAGGTGCCGTGGGAATGTGACGGCTCCAGGGGGAGGGCGCCTCCTCCTTGGCCACCGCGTAGGGTGGCTGCGCGCGCTCGTCCCCACCCCGATGGAGTGAACGAGATGGGGTGGAGTGAGACAGGAGGCACAGACGCTGGACTGGTGCGCAGGGGCCAGGCTGGGGGGCGCCAGCCAGGCTGGAGTGGGGCGGGGGGAGCGGGGCGGCGTCCCTTACTTGTGGGGAGCTCCCGGGGGAGAAGCCTTGATTGGAGACGGGCGAGGTGGGAGACTGGTTGGCGGGGGAGCCGGCGCTAGTGCGGTACTGCTGCAGAGCCGGTGCCTGCGACGACAGACAGGTCAGGACGCTCGCAGGGCCCCGGGCCTGGCCCAGCCGCCTGGCAAGGCCCCCACCCCTCAGGGAAGCAGGATACCTGGGCATCTGCAGGGGGGTACCTGGGCCCAGCCTCCAAACCCAACTCTGGGAGGGGTGGGAGCACGTGGTTAGAGTCCAGAACCCAGCCTTGCAGAGCTGTCCTGGGGCACTACGGAAGGGCAGAGGGGCCGGCCTCTGCTCAGCGGGTTTAGAGCTCTCACACGAAAGCACACCAGTACCCACACACACACACAGCCGTGCACACACCCACACACACGCTCGGGCAGGGAAGGGCCTGGGCGAGTCAGAAGGCCTCGAGTGATGGCAGGATCAGGGGCAGAGTGGGGGTCCTGGTGCACGGTGGTCACCATCACCCATGTTGCTTGGGACTGGCCCTCTGGATGATGCTGTCCACAGACTTCCAAAGGGCAGTCACCTCTTCACTTGAATGACAAAGGGTCTTGGCGTCTCACCAGACCCCTGGGGGCCAAGACCCGCTAGACCAGGATCTGAATCTAGTCCCTGCTCTGGTCCCGCCCAGGGAAGCCCTGCGGTGTGTCTCTCCGCAAGCTGCCTGACCTCTCTGAGCCTGCCGTTTAACGAGCCCCAGCTGGCCGGCTCAGGGCCCCCCAAGTCTCCTTCATTTCCTCAGCGGCCCCAGAAGTTTGGAATGGGGGCTGGGCCCAGATGGGGCAGGGGGCTCACATAGCAGGGTTTGAGTGTCAGAGACACAGCATGGTCGCTTGGCAGTGACCAGCTCAGGTTGTCTCGGGGTTGGGAAGATGAAGTTGACCGGGGGGACATTCTCCTCCCGTGAGTGGCTGTGCAGAAGCTCACAGAGGAGGCCCCTGGAGCCCGAGCCCTGAGAGCCCCAGCTCCCACGGGGGTGGTGGGTGGATTACCCACCACGGGGCCCCGACCCGAGAGCGTGGCTGGGATGCCCCGTGCCTCCAGGTCCCTCCAGCTCCACCGCAAGGTGCTGCCCCTGCTGGGTGCCCCAGGCAGCTTACTGTCAGGGCTGCCCCCCATAACTGCTCTGTTTCTGCCAAAGGCAAGGTTTGGGCGCAGTCCTGTCCCGGGTACCCCTGAGGTCTGCCCTCTGAGGGATCAGCACGGCTTGGAGGTGTGAGTCTCCCCCTCTTGGGGGACCTGCCGGCCCTGTCCAGCCCAGGAGGGCTCGTTTTTTACAGAACACATGGTGTTCTGATGACATGTACTCTGGGGCTGGTGGCCACGGGCCAAGTGAGCAGGGAGGGCTGGCTGGGCCCTCAGCATGCGTCCGTTTCTCTGAATGAGGCCAAAGGTAGCTGTGACCACTCCCTTCCCACCAGGGCAACCTGGATGAAAGTCTGAACAGACAGGAAGGTTTGGAGGTGCAGGGGTCAACCCCCCCAAAACTAGCATTTGTTACCCTGAGCCTGTCCCAGGCAAGGGGGTCCCATGGGCTGAGCTGCAGGCCCTGGGCCCAGGGCACTGTGTTGTAAGAACCACAGAACTGGTTTCACCCCTTCTATTCCTTCCAGGTCATCTCCATCACTTTGGCTCCTGGAAGTCCATTCCCTAGCCCCTGAGAGCTCTGGGTGCTCCCTGCCTCCGAGGAAGCCTTGGGTGGGAAGAGCTGAGGGGGGCTTTCAGGCCCACGGGAGAGGGACACAGGGTGGCCCATGCTGCGTGAAGTTTGGGGCACCTGACCCTGCTCATGAATCAGTTCCTCCTGCACAAGCCCCACCCACCCCCATCCCCCACCCAAGCCAGGCCCCTTCCCGCCTTACCGAGGCAATGTCGATCCCCATCGGTGGCTGGCCCGCGTTCTCTGGGGGGGACTGGGGGAGAGAGGACGGGACCGTGACCGCGAGTGGGGGCAGCTGGGGCCCCCGTGTCAGGCTGGCGCTCGGCATCAGGGAGCCTCCCTGGGGGAGGCCGACAGGCACCTGTGGGGGCTGCGGGGGCGGCTGCTGCTGGGAGGCCGGCGGCGGGGGCGGCGGGGGCTGAGGCTGGGGCGGCGGCGGCTGCTGAGAGCCCGCCTGGGTGAAGAAGGCATAGGGCAGCTGCTGCTCCAGAGACAGGGCGTCCATGGCCACGGCCTGCAGGGGGAGGAGGGCGTCAGCAGGAGGCACGTTCAGAGGTGGGGACCCCCATGGCCCGTGGCAGCGAAGTGATGGACAAACCAAAGGGTGTCCCGACCCTGGACTGGGGCAGCAAAGGCTGAGCGGGCAGGCGTCCCCCAAGGCCCACGGAGGACGGGGCTGCAGCTCTGTGGGCCTGCCCCCAGCGAGTTTTTCTCCTCCCATGCCAATAGGGGGCACCACTTTCCACATCTGCAGACTTAGAATCCTCTCCTCTTCTGCCCTTTGAGCTGGAGCTTTCCTGCTATAGGCAGGCATGGGGCATACACTCTGGGAGCTCAGTGGGGAGCCAGCACATAGCCCCTGTGGAGTCCTGTAAGGAGAAGGAACCCCCTCTTGCCACCTGCAGCCAAGGGGAAGCTGGAGATGGTATGGGTTAGGGAGGCACTGGCATGGTCACTGGGCAATGACCAGCTCTAGGCTCTCTTAGTCGGAAAGCGGAAAATAACCAGAGGGAAGTTTTCAATACTCATCCATCCACCCGGACAGTTCCTCAGGCAGGCAAGGGTTCCTACCTTCCAAGGGAGACTGGAAGTGTCCGGGAACTACAGAATATAAACACTAAGAAGAAAGCCTGGCACTAGCTGGTAGGCAGTTTGTGAACAGAGGCGTTTTCAAAAGAAGGCAGGCCTCAGGGGTGGGGCGTGGCGGGGAAGGGAGATGAGGCCAGGGTCCCCCAGGATGGAGAGACCGAAGATGGTGCCATCAGGAACCATCCATGGCTCCGGCTCCTAATCTGAAGAACTGGAGAAGAGGCAGAGACCTGGTGGGGGAATAGGGCCCAGGCCAGGCATCGGAAGATGTATTAGCAGAACTACTGTTAAATTTCATCGTAGGTGGATAAGACCATCAAGGTTATGTTAAAACAAACAAACAAACAAAAAAAAGCCATTATCTACTAGGGACTGAAAAACAGTCAACATGGACAAATTCCTCAGAACGCACAAACTACCCAAACGGACCCAAGAATCTGGAAAAGGAAGTCTAAGGAGTTGGTATCTAGGGAGAAGTCAGATCAGGTACCATAAACTTTCTAACGCAGATCTGTCGAGGCTGCGGCACCTACACTGAGTTCTACCAAACATTGCAAGAAGTAATAGCGATGCTTCTCAAACTCTTCAAAAAAACAGAAGAGGAGAGAATACTCCCTAATGTACTCCAGGAGCCTGGACTAAGTAAAAAAGATAAGGTCTCAACTGCAGAAATAAAAAACAAAAGGGGGAATGAACTTTATAGAAATTAAAAGGATTATGAAAAAGAGGGTTTCCCTGATAGCTCAGTTGGTAAAGAATCCAACTGCAATGCAGGAGGCTCCGGTTCAAATCCTGCAACAGGAAGATCAGCTGGAAAAGGGATAGGCTACCCACTCCAGTATTCTGGCCTGGAGAATTCCATGGACTGTATAGTCCCATGGGGTCACAGAGTCAGTACACGACTGAGCGACTTTCACACACATTGCCTACAAACAGGCTTCCCAGGTGGTGCTAGTAAGTAAAGAATCCGCCTGCCATTGCAGGAGACCCAAGAGATGAGGGTGCAATCCCTGGGTCAGGAAGATCCCCTAGAGAAGGGAAATGGCAACCCACTCCAGTATTCTTCTCTGGAGAATCCCACAGACAGATGAGCCTGGTGGGCTGCAGTCCATGGGGTCACAAGGAGTCAGACACGACTGAGTGACTTAACACAGACACTGCCTATGAACAGCTGTTTGCTGGCATGGGGGACAATCTTGATGAAATAGACCAATTGCTAGACACAATCTACCAAACAAGCAGATGAAGGAAACCTGGTGAAGTATTTTATCAGGTTTTCTTTTTTTAAACAGAAAAAGACACTCTAAATGCTGTATTTTGACAGTCGGGAAATGCCAATGAGATCCTAAAGAAGAGACTGGCATAGTTAAGACTGGCCAGTCACACGGGCACAATCTACCAGCTGAGATGGACACAGGGGACTCCAGGCCACTTGATTCCTGCATTCCCCATGTCTTTGAAAATTTGACCACACAAAAAAAGAAAAAAATGTTAGGAAGATGTCTAGCGTTCTGCTCCCTGGAAGGAGCACAAGGCCTCCCAGAGAGGCGCAGTCGGGCCCACCTCCCCTGCCCCACTGGGCCCTCGCACCTGAGTGATGGGTGACAACGGGGACAGGCTGGGCGACACCTGCTGGGCCTGCTGCCGCCTTGCCTCTGTGCTCAGCGACAGCGGGCTGACGCCGGCCGGCCGGTGCTGCGGTGAGGAGCCAGGGGTGCTCATCCCTGAAAGGGAGGGAGGGTGGGAGTGATGCCAGCCGCCAGCATCGAGGCAGGAGGCCCTCTCACACGAAGGGTCACTGCCAAGGACAGTCCATGCATTCAGATAGGTACCAGTAGGCACATCCTGATCGCCAAACCCAGGACGCCCCCTCTGAGGCCCCAGTACCCTGACCTGAGGGTCCCCCAGCACTGCAGGGACTCCCACCTCCAATGCCGGCCAACATGTTCCCCCGTGAGCCTGCCAACCACCCAGGAGGGGCGTGTCCCATAGGCCCAGCCAATCAGCACTTCCCCACCTCTGGGCTACCACATGATTGGCTCCCAAATGGACACATGACCAGGCTGGCCAATGAGATCCTGCCCAGGGGATTTTGGTTCAGAGTTGCGTGAGGGGTAACAAGGGAGCTGAGGGGCAGAAACAGCACCTGAGCCTCAGAGGCAGCCATGCGGGCACTTCCTGGTTTCAGGAGACAATGGGTCCCCTCCCTTTTCTTTTCGCCTAAACTAGCTTGCGTTTGATTAGGTCCAAAACCAAGTCGGTCTTGTCTGACGCTGCAGTTTCCTCCCGACCCTCATCCCTCCCCAGGACTGGTCCTTTGGCTAGATCTCCTCTTGGCCCCTCAGGACACATCCACAACCTTCTCCCCCGCCTCCCATGCACCTGCCACACTGCAGCACCAACCCCACTGGAGTGGCCGAACTAGAGACTCGGTTGCTTTGTCTTCTTCCCGCTGGAGCGCTCCAGGTCGCCCCTTCCTTCCCTCCCCCTGGCCCCCGCCCCCAGCGAGCTGATCCCTGGATGTGTCTGTCGTGAAGGAGCCAAGTGAGGTCAGGTTCAGTGTGGTAGCAGTGGGGGCCTGCTGGCGGATCTCGAGGTACGGTGCCAGGAAAGCACAGGCCCCGACGCTGGGTGCAGGAGGGGTGCCCTGGGGGCTGGCCAGATGCCCCCAGACTCAGTTTCCTTGTCTCTTCCAGTTCACCGTGAGGCTCCCGTGAGGTGCTGAGCAGGCTTGGAAGAGAGCCTGGCTTGCAGTCAAGGCCAGGTGAAGTTGCCTGACTTACCAGGGGAGCTGGGCCCAGCCCATGGAGGGCACTAGATCAACTTTATTCCAGCGGATGAGGTGGCAGGTTCAACGGTGGACGAGAGTACAGCCCGCACACACTCCGGAAGGGAGATGACAGGCAGCCTCCCCTCCACCCCGAGGCAGTTGTTCGCTGGGGCTGTCACCGGTGCAGGGCGAGCCCAGTCACGCCTGCACTTCCCCCTCGGATGCCCTGGCGGCTCCACTCAGCTGGACACTGAGGTGGGGGGCGGTGGGGGGGGGTGCTGACACTGCAGCAAAGCCCCCGGGGGCCAGTGTCCACACAGACCCTGGGCCCAGAATCAGGCTGCTGCAAACACAGCGAAGTCAAGGGAGCCGCTGACAGAGGCCTAGGCGGATGGCGTCTGAAAGACGCCCGCTGAGGGCACCCTGGGAGTCAGGACCCCGTGCCGCTCCCTTGTCTTCTCTGAGCATCCAACGCTTCACTTGTCCAGCAGGCCAAGGGATGCTTGCCGCCCACATCAGGAGTGGATGTCGGGAACTGATGAGCAGGAGAGGCAGATGCCAGGAATGAGTGGGCTGGAGGGGCGACAGGGCCAGGAGAAGTCTGCCGCCACCTGGAGAGCTCGAGTCCCTCTAAGCTGCAGGACCTTGGCCCACCACACTGGGCCTGATTCTTCCAGTGAGGCCTGAAATCCAGGTTTTTACATGCATGTTTGCATCACGCACACAGTCGGAGGACAGCCAAAACACACTGGGCGGTTAGGCTGCCCGCCTCTAACGTCTATGCTGAACACAAGGGAGGTTTTTAATCCTCGGCCTGGCTGCAGAGTGAGCTCAGGGCCTCACAGGCGGGCAGGCACCACCCCCGAGACACTGGCTGGGCCGAGGGAAGCCTTGTTCCTGAATTCCTTCGGACAACCTGGATCACCTTTGGGAAAAGAAGTGGGGCCAGCTGGCAGGGAGGCCAAGCGCGGGCAGGGAGAGCTGCCAGGGGAGGGCAGGCCAGGTGGTGGCGGCATGCAAGCCCTCTGTGTGGGGCTGGCTGGCCCCAGAGGTGTGCTGCGAGGGAGGACCCCAGCCTGCCCACCTCCCATGTCCGGGAAATGACTTTAGCAAACATGGAAGGAGAGAGGGGGGCCTCAGGACGGGCAGGCAGGGGGAGGGGGCGGGCTCCACGTGTACCAGGGGCCGGCGGCTCTGCTTGATGTAAAATGCGCCCGGAAAAACGAGGCCCTGTTCAGGCAAGCTGCCGTGGAGTGGCAGGTTCGCAAACAACTGAACACATGTCAGACATTACTGGGCCGATGTGCCAAGCCAGGCAGGCTGGGGTCTGGGCCCCCGCACGCGGTCTGCGCTTGGTCCTGCATCTATGGTTTTCACATGTGTTGTTTTCCCGTGCTTGTTTAGACTCAGCTTGGGCTGGAAGTGCGTGGCTCCCAGGCGGGTACTGGGGCTGCGGGTGGGGGCGGGGCTGCCAAGGACCCTCCGGCAGAGGGGGTGGTGCTCTGGAGGCTGCTGCAAGGCATGAGGAGAAAAACGTGGGGGGGCCCTCCCTAGCAGCCCTGGAGGCGACCTTCCAATTTCTTGCCTTGCACAGAAGTGTGAACACTGTCCACCCACTGGTCTCTTGGAGGGCCCAGGAGCTTGGGGTGCCCTGAATCTGCTTGTTTTGTGTTCTGGGCCTTCCCTGGAAGAGGGGGACAGGGGCATGGCCAGGGCAAGTGTCTCCTGCCTGATGGATGAGCTAGCTTTTCGCGAGAACACCTACGGAGTGTGCACCGCCCTCAACAACCCTCACCTGCCCCAGCCCTGTCCACATCAAAGTCAGTAATGACTGCGGGCTCCGTGCTCTCCTTCACTGCCAACCCCACCAGACTCCAAGGCTGGCCCACTTCACCCTGAAACCTCTCTGCACAGCTGCCCACGGGGCACAGGGGCTGCTGCCCATTCTTTACAGTCGGCTTCCCCAGAGGAATTGCAGCCAATAGGAATGTGAGTGTGTGATTCTCAGAAAACCCCGCGTGGCACCACCCCGCAGGGGGAGCGCAGGGTGGAGGTGCACTGGGTCTGTGGACCAGGTGAGCGGGGGGCCCAGGCTGTGGCTCCGGGGCTGAAGGAGGGCATGATGAGGTGGTGCCTATCAACCCCTGAGTCCCAACACATGTGAAGACACGTGTGAGTCCCCATGGCCCCTCTTGCCTGTCCCACCACCAGGCTGCTGGGGGACTGCCCCTTCCCCCTGGACGCAAGCCCACACCCCCCCCAGTCAGCGTGGGTACAGGGGTCACAGCGAGGACGTGTGAGACCGAGGCCCAGCCCAGGGGATGCTGAGAGCAGAACAGTGACTTGACTTCAGCGAGTGCAGAAAAGCCACTCGGTGTGAGAAGGGGCAGGTCATGGGCAGGGGCTCAGAAAGCCTGCAGAAGGGAGAGCAGGAGTCTGAGCAGGGAAGGGGGTGAGGAGCCTGGAGGAGGGGATCTGTGGGGGAGGGGCAGCACATGCCAGGGTGCCCTGTGGAAGCTCACTGGCTGGAGAGGAGTTGGGGTGGGGAGCAGGATCAGGGGCTCCCGGGGCCTGAAGCTTCCTCTAGGAGGAGACTGAAGATCTCCTAGATCTTTGGCCTGACCAAAGGAGGGTCGTGAGCTGACAGCCATTCTGGGTGGGAGGATGGGTGGGGGACCCAGCATGTGGGGCCACAGCGGGGAGAGAGTCTGGGGACAGGAGGACACCTCCAGGGCCCCTGCCTAAGTCACAGGGGGATGGTGCCGCCGGAAGTCCTCAGGAGCAACAGGGCCAGGGTGGTACTGGGGGTTCCTGGGACACTGGGACCATGATATGTCCCCAGGGATGGATGGCTGTGCAGTACAGGGAGGCAGCCAGGCTGGAGTGTCCTAAGCTGTCAGTCACAGTGGGGCACGGGGACGGGGGAGGGAGGTGAGAAGGGGGAGGGAGGTGAGAAGGGGGAGGGAGGTGGGCGGGGCGGGATGAAGAACAGATCAGGCCTGTCCCTCCATGAGAGGGGCGCATGGGGAAAGCCTGGCCCACCCCAACTCCCTGAAGCCTCCAACCCCCCCTAAAAACCATGGTCCAAGCCCTGGGGGCATGTCCCTTCCCAGACCCTGGCCTCTGCCCAGATGCCCTTCCCCTTGGGTTGGCCTGGCAACCCCAAATCCCCATGGAGGACTCTGCCCACCATCCTGGTGCCCTGGGTATCCCCAGGGCATATCTGCCCTTGCTCAGCCCTCATTCACACTCACACACACACACACACACACACACACACACACCATCCTCACGAGGGCAGAGCCCTGTTGGGGAAGTGGCGCCCTTGCTCAGCCCTCACACACACACTCACACACACACATGCACACACTCACACACACTCGCGCGTGCACACACACACATGCATATGATCCTCGAGCGGGCGGAGCCCTGGCGGGCAGCGGTGCCCTTGCTCAGCCCTCACTCACACACATGCACACACACTCACACGTGCGCACACACACGGGCAGCAGCATCCTTGCTCAGCCCTCACTCACACACGTGCACACACACACTCACATGCACGCACACACACAGGCAGCAGCATCCTTGCTCAGCCCTCACTCACACACATGCACACACACACACACACACGCACACACACGGGCAGCAGCATCCTTGCTCAGCCCTCACTCACACACATGCACACACACACACTCAGGCGCGCACACACACGGGCAGCAGCATCCTTGCTCAGCCCTCACTCACACACATGCACACACACACACTCACATGCGCGCACACACACGGGCAGCATCCTTGCTCAGCCCTCACTCACACACATGCACACACACACACTCACATGCGTGCACACACACTCACACGCACGCACACACACGGGCAGCAGCATCCTTGCTCAGCCCTCACTCACACACATGCACACACACACACTCACACGCGCGCACACACACGGGCAGCAGCATCCTTGCTCAGCCCTCACTCACACACATGCACACACGCGCGCACACACACACACACGCACTCACACACGCGCACACACACGCGTGCATTCACACATGCACACGCACGCACACTCACATGCACACACACACATGGGCAGTGGCGCCCTTAGCTCAGCGCGCGCGCACACACACGCGTGCATTCACACATGCACACGCACGCACACTCACATGCACACACACACATGGGCAGTGGCGCCCTTAGCTCAGCGCGCGTGCGCACACACACACACACACACACACACACACACAGCAGCGGCGCCCCCCACCCGGCCCGGCTTACCCTGGCCGGCGGCACCGATGCCCAGGTGCGTCAGGTTGGCCGCCAGGTTGCCAGTGCTGCTGGAGCTGCTCAGTGCGGGGAAGGTGGGTTCCTCGGGGTCCAGGGGGGTTGGGAGGGGGGAGGGGAAGTGGATGTTGGTCAGGTCAGGCAGAGAGCCCCCCGTGTTGTGGGTGGCAGGGATCAGGGCTGTAGTGTTTTCCTGGTCGGCGGATGGAAAGATGCTGGGGGGGGAAAGGCCAGACAGAGGGGGAGGTGAGCTCTCAGGACGGCAGCTGGCCTGTTCTCCCCAGGAAGCTGTGGTGGGGGCAGGAGAAGGCTGGCTGCAAAAAAATAAACCAGCAAGTGCAAAATGACACCCCAGAGTGAGGCGCTGCTCTGCTGGAGAAAGCTCCCAGCACCTCCAGTGCAAACAGGAAGCAGCCGACAGCTCGGGCTTGGGGGAGGGGCTTCCCACTGACCAGGAACGGGGTGTGGGGCTGGGGAAGGGGCTCTGTCATCTCAGGCAGGCAGGCGCAGGAGTGTCCCCCAGCATGGGGCTTGATGGGTGGCCGCCAGTGGCACAGAGCCCTTATCATCAGGGTGCGTGGCCTCATGAGCAGATGGGAAGACCCGGGGTTGTCCAAGCAGCCCCTGGTGGCCTTGGGCACACAGGGTGGGCGCTGCTGAGACTTACTTGATTCCAGGAACCTCGCAGGACTTGGGCCTGGGCCCTGTCTGAAAGAGAAGACAGCAGAGTCTGAGCTGGCACTGCACTCCTCACAGGCACTGCACCCCCTCACAGTATGGCTGACCTCTCTACAAGGGCTAAGACATACCCAACGAGAACTGAGTTTATTGGGACTTCCCTAGTGGTCCAGTGGTTAACAATCCAGTGGCAATGCAGGGGACACAGGTTCGATCCCTGGTCTGGAAACTAAGATCCCACAAGCCATGGGGCAACTAAGCCCAAGAGCCCGGGAGCCTGTGCCGTGAAACAAGAGAAGCTATTGCAGTGAGAAGCCTGCACGCACCGACAAAGACCCAGCACAGCCAAAATTCAACAAATTAAAAAAAAATACAGTTTAGGTGCAGATAAAGGAAATGTGGCCCCAAAGGATAGGAGGAGGGGCTGCCCCAGACACACCCAAGGGCAAAACCAAGAACTGTGTGGCGACGGTTTTCCTACAGCCCCCTCCCAGCTTCACTCTACCTGGTAAGATGGGCATGGACCAGGGGTGGTGTGGTCCCGTCAGAGCAGGCATTGGGGAAGTAGAGGAACCCTGCCCACTCTTCACATCCAAATCCCCTGGGGCTGTACCATGATGTTGGCAGCCAGCTGGGGGACAGGACCCACTAAAAACCCACCCAGGTGCCTGGAGGCTAACGCCCTACGTCACTCCTGAATCAAAGCAGGCGGGGCTCTGGTGGCAGAGGGTCCCGCTGCTCAGAGTCCCTCTGTCCTCGGCAAGGAAGAACATCCCATGGAGAAGCCTCAGGAGGCTCAAACCGGATGCCACAGATAACACAGAAGATGCTGGCCACGCCCCCTGCTGGCCGGCCCTCCAACAGCGCGGGGGCCTGAGCTGTGATTCCCAAGGGAACCCTGGGGCTGCTGTGCTCCCTGCCCCACGCTGCCCGGGGACAGACACCGTGGCTGCCCTGCAGACCAGCCCCGGGGAAACTCTGCTTCCCCTTCCTCTTCTGTGAACCCAGGACACTGTCGCCATCCAGGAACCACAGGCTCCAGGCAGGGTCCCTAGACTCTCGTCCAAGGACAAAGGAACTCTCTTCGGCGGCAGCGGACAGGACTGGGCAGAAGCTCGCATGCCAGGAGAGGGCCCGGCTGAGTCACGCTCCCTGCTCGTCTCTGCCTCCCGGGCCCTCGGGCAGACACTCCTGGTATTCTCTAAGGATTATCGGACCAGAACGTGGGCACACTGGCAGGAGGCTAGGCCTGCCTTCCATGCACACAGCCAGAGAGCTGGGGGGTGGGGAGGAGGGAAGGCCCAACTGGCAGTGATTGGGGCACCCAAGGGGTGGCATGTAACCACCAGGCATTTAGCCCCTGCAGCGAATGCTGGAGGAACGGGTTTTTACTTGGCCGTAGGCGCCTTAATTCCGTGAGTAAACACTCGCTTCATTACCAGATTATTCTTTGCAAAGCGCTTTGACAATGACTTTTTCTAAAGAGTCTTTTCAAACGCATTCCACGGATGTTACGGGATCCTAATGGATTTCTAAACTGCACGAAGAATTCACCCATCATCCCCCGTCCCACCCCCAACGAATCCACAGGAATTCCTTTACTGACATCCTCACAGATGGATCCTTTGGTTTCAAGCGGCAGTTAAAAGGAGTCTCGCCCAGATGCTGGGCTCTGCCACCCTCTTCTCACTCCCACTGATGCTGGGGCTCCTTTCTTCCCCAGCCGTGATACTTGCCATCTTCTCTGGCTTTACAGCAGCAGCACATTTTGGGCAGGTGGTAGGGACCCCGTTCTCCTACTGACGCACCTCTCCGCAACTAGACATTTCAGTTACTTTTTCCTTTGGGTTGTTAAGAGTTTTAAAGGTTTTTACCAAGTATGAAAATGACAAGTACTCCTCGGGCAAAACTGCAACATGCGGACCGGGTTAAGAGTGCTGGCCAAACCTGCATGTGCATCTCCCCCAGGGCCTGGTCCAGCACACCCAGGGATCTGCATCTCTCTGTGTCTTGTGCCTTTCTAAACAGCTTTATCCTGCTCTTTCTATGTACCAGTTTTCTCACAAGTCTCTCATGCCTTTAAAACTCCTTCAGAGATCCCAACTCACACACACAGAGCTTTCCACACGAGGGACTGAGGACAATTTCCTTATAAATCCCCTACTGTCAAACATTCAGGTTGTTTTCAGTTGATTCCAAAAGCTCTGAACACGCGCCTTAATGAGCACAGTGCTGTCTGCTTCATCATTGCCCTCCGAGTTCCTGAAGGGAATGAGCGATTTGAGTTGCTGTCCCTTTCCCTGCAACTTGACCAGTGATAGGTGTCAATTCTTTTTTTTTTTTTTACATTCAAAATCGCTTTAGCGTTACATGCATTTTTGTTCTATTCAAATTCTTTGAAATCTATTCATGGCACAAATTATCTTATCACCAGATCTTTTTGTAGGCTGAAACTGAGAAATCTGTTTCTGGATCTAGAAATAATACAGACATCTCAAGCCAACTGGGAATTCCAAGCAGACTCTGTACTGCAATAAAAGCTCCAATTATTGTGCAAATAAATGGAAGTTTATGTTTAAAGAGGAAGATAAATGATGAAAATTACCCAATACTGTGGGTTAGTAGAATGACCACAGGCTAAGAATTAGGTAGTGTAGGTTCTAAACCCGAAGTATCTTCACAACCTTGTGCACATCACTTAATCTCCCTGGCTTCAATTTCTTTTTTAGTTGATATATAATTGGCATATAATATTATATTAGTTTTAGGTGCACAATGTGATGATTCTGTATTTGTATATACTGCAGTGATCACCACAATAAGTCTAGTTAATAGTTAACGTTCATCAGTACATGTAAAAACATGGAATGCTTCATGAATCTGCCTGTCATCCCTGCATAGGAGCCATGTTAATCTTCTTTGCATTGTTCCAATTTAATACATGCTGTCAAAGTGAACATGGATTTTAATTCTTTATGTGGTTTTTCCCAGTGTTATCAGGCCTGCCGTTAGTATTCAAGGCCTAACTGGTTAAAGCTAAATGAGGTTTGGGGAATTCCCTGACAGTCCAGTGCTTAGGACTTTGCGCTCTCACTGCCAAGGGCCTGGGTTCAATCCTTGGTTGGGGAACAAAGATCCTGCATGCTAGGAAGCGAAAAAAACCGAAACAAATAAAAAAAAAAAACAGAATGAGGTTCACATTTCAGGAAAGGAGATGTTCTCCCAACATGCTATTTCACCATCTTCACTTGGGTTGCGCTTCTAAAAAGATTTTAAAAGATCAAGAAGGGAAACCACCTTCAAAAGCACTTAGGCTCTTACCTTCTTGGTGTCCCATCCTTGCTTGGAAAGATTCTTGTCTGTCTCTGATGCGGTCTCCTCCATACCCGGGACTGTTAACAGTAAGACTGGGGTGGGGTTGGAGGAGAAGCAGAAAAGGGATCTTTGCAGCCTTGCAGTGGTACCAGGTGGTCCCTGACACAAAGCCACAACCGTGATATGAATGTAACTGCCCCAACAGTAACTTCTGGGGATTGTACTAAAGAACACAAGAGCTTCATTTTTTAAAAGTAAAGTGAAAAAAAAAAAAAAACCAGAGGACCTGTGATTTAAAGAGAAACGAAAGTGAAAGCTCTGGAGCTCAGGGCGCGTGTGGCTGCTGGCTCTCACAGGGTCTCCTCAGGCCTCAGAGGCCTCGAGCTGCAGAGAACCGCCAAGCATCTCTCCCAGGGGTGGCTGTCTTGCCCCATAAGCCCCACCTGCAGCCCTGTGGACACCTGTCTCCTCTCTGGGCTGTTAGCACCCAGAGGCTGGGTCCCTCCTGGGGTCTTGGCACCAAGCCACAGAGCTCAACAGAGACTGAGGTCCATCCACCCATGGCAGCTATGACCCCAAGAATGATCTGCAGTGCTAACCAGTCCCAGGGAGGAAAGGAGAGGAGAAAGGAACAAGATGGCATCTCTTGAGGCCCTGGAGCCAGCTGTACCTGAAGCACCTTTCCTTAAACCTTTCAGGTAAGGAGAGAGTACACACTTTTATGAGATCCAATTTCTTTATGCCTGTTGAAGGCTGTTTTTCACCCGGAATAGTAAAATTAGGAACATAGCCAGATGGGTGAATTTCTCCTTCTCAAAACCTAGACGAGGGGATGGGAGGACAACCAGGCTAATCCTAGACTTTGTTACTGCCTGGGCCCCTCCTAGAGGAACGGGAGAGGTGATGTGTTTCCCACCCCTGACCCCAAGGCCAACAGGACTCAGAGTTGCCAGGGGTCACCAAGGGTCCCTGGGAGGGCAGAGTCCACTTGTCCATGCCAAAAGCCCACGCTTCTGCGGGGGGCCTCCCTCAGGGTGGACAGTGCTCTCTAAGCTCCCTCCAGCACCAGGAGCAGGAGGGAAGTAACAGATGCACTCTCATCCACCCAGGAGTTTGGGATCTTCACTTTATTATGGACACACGCCCTCACTGCTGGTGCCCACTGAGCTGGAAAGATCACGTGGGGAGGGAGCCTGCCAGCCAAGCAGTGACCTTCTGGTTGCTCATCCTCCTTCCTTCAGCAGAATCTCCCCGGTATGTTAACAAACTCGCACAGTGAAATGCTACCAGAAAAGTGGGAAGCACCTGGACGTCAGCGTATATGATTCATCTTCTGGTTTCAGGGTCCTGGAGCAGGTCAGGCCCAAGTGGGTTTCGAGGGCTGGCCTCTCAGTGTCACGCTGCCCTCTCTGGGTGTCGCTGCCCCAGTTTTTAAGATGCCGTGTACCTTCCTGGAGGGTCCCAAGGACACTGCCTCCACACCTGGCTCCAAGGAGGGACTGGGGCCCGCGTACATATCTGCCCCAGCTACAGAGTGTGTGCACGACCCAGCTATAAAGGAGGCTCTGGACAAGAGTTGGGGGACAACTGGCCTCTCTTCCACTCACTGTTTCAGGATGGACCTTAGGGACCAAGTGGGTTCTGAGCATCAGAGACGGGAAATGATCCAGTGTGAAGCCAGGGATTGAACGGTCCCTGGAGATGAACATCTAGCCCCAGCTGCTGGTCATGAGCTGATAAAAGCCCCTTCTGCTTGGGTTTGCTGCTCCCAACATTTGAAAGCATCTCCAAGGCACCTTAGACTGTGAGGTCTTACCATGAGTCCATCAACAGAAGCCAATGTGAGTTCACAGGGACTGTTTTCTCAGCCCAGAAAACCCCTACGCATCCCTCAAAATCCAGCTCAAGCAGTGCCATCTCTGAAAGTTTCTCTGAACTCCTCATGTTATACAGCACTTGCCGAGTCTTCCTTCTCAGGTCTGTGGCCCCTGAGGGCACAGTGGCCACCTACTGGACTTGCCTGACCCTAGGAAAGGTGCCCGTGGGCTCTGCCGATACCTCTTTTCTGGTGCGCATCCTGGGACCCACCCGTAAAGGGCTCTGGTTGGGTGGGCGTCATTGTGCTCTGGTGCAGGGCGGAGTCAGAATTGGTCCTGGGAAGAGGAGAGAAACAGTGAGCCTCAGCCCCAAAGGGGACAAAGGGATATCTTGACTCCACTACATCTGGGACCCACATGACAGAAGAGGGTGACAGTTATGGGACATTTTTGTGAGCTGCGACCTCAGTGAAACCCTAAAGAACCACAACAGTGACCATGGTTTTCGCCTGCAAAGTGTCCCTGCCCGTGGATGGGCGTCTCAGCTTCCTGCTGAAGCCCTGAAGACAGCAGGCCTGCCAATCCCACAGCAGCCTCACGGAGGCCCCCACCAGTGACAAATAAGCCAAGGAAGGTCTTGCTCCAGCCAACCCAATGCTGCCCAGCACCCAGGAGAGGGTCCAGTCTCTGCCCCAATGACACAATATGCCCCGAGCTGCAGATGCCTGGAGGGAGGCCGCCTAAGAAACCAGAGGCAGCCTTGGGAAGCTGGGCAGACCCGCAAAGGGCAGGACCAGCTGCACAGCCAACGTGGGGATGAGAGTAAGAGCCATGTGCGCCCCAACAGGAATGTCCCAGATGCTAGAGTGACGTGGAGGAAACCTGGTTCAGGGACAGATTAGATGACAAAGGGCGGGGCTGTCTCTGACCCTGGGGCTGGATGAGCAATGAGGGGCTGGGAGATCCTGGCCCCCCTCCACCAGCTGTGTGTCCCTGAGCAAGTGTTCCCACCCCTCTGTGCTCTTATGCCTGAAAATGGGGAGAATAACAGCCCCAACTCTATAGAGTTCTGTGTGTCTGACATGAGTTGACACGTTATTGACTGGAGACGTTATCAATGCCACAGGCATTCGTTTCTGCAAAAATCCCCTGGTCAATAATGTGTTAATGTGTGTGATGGTTGAAATAGGACCTGGGCTATGAATACGTGCTTGGTGGGCATTAAACTGTGTTACTCAATTATATATATTTTCTGGGTTTTTTTTAACAGCTTGCTTACTTTTGATCTTTGTTTACTGAAATCACCTACATATATTTTTCTGTGTATGTGTACTAAAATAAAGTTTGCCTTTTTAACCATTTTTAAGTGTACACGCCTGTGTCATTAAAGTATATTCACATGTGTGGACAAGCGTATGTGCTAAGTAGCTTCAGTACTGTCTGACTCTGTGTGACCCCATGGACTGTATCCGCCAGGCTCCCCTGTCTGTGGGGATTCTCCAAGCAAGAACAGTGGAGCGGGTTGCCATGCCTTCCTCCGGGGGATCTTCCTGATCCAGGGATCCAACCTGCGTCTCGTGCGTCCCCAGCACCGGCAGGCAGGTTACCACTAGCGCCACCTGGGAAGCAGCAAGTACATTAACACTGGTGTGCAGCTATCAGCTGTGTTACTGCAGGTATTTGTATTAGCTATATTGTTGCTGCTATTTTATATCTTCCTAGATGATGACATTTGGAGAAGGCAATGGCACTCCAGTCCAGTACCCTTGCCTGGAAAATCCCATGGATGGAGGAGCCTGGTAGGCTGCAGTCCATGGGGTCGCTAACAGTCGGACACAACTGAGCGACTTCACTTTCACTTTTTACTTTCAAGCACTGGAGAAGGAAATGGCAACCCACTCCATTGTTCTTGCCTGGAGAATCCCAGGGACGGGGGAGCCTGGTGGGCTGCCGTCTGTGGGGTCACACAGAGTCAGACACGACTGAGGCGACTTAGCAGCAGCCGCAGCAGATGATGACATTATGGGCTTTTTTAATCTTCTACATGTATTTATACATCTCCCTAATTTTCTGGTAATATATAATACTTTTCCAGTCATGTTTTCTATGGCTTTTTGGGAATGTGGGAAACAATCATAATAGCACATTAAATGAAATAAAGCAAGTGACGACACTGAATATTCCATACAATCCCAACTTTGGCTAAAAAGAAAAGAAAAAAAACAGTCATAAATCAGAGAAAGGAAAAAAAAAATCCCTGGAAGACCCCAAAACTGTGGCCTCACTGTTACAGGGATAGAGCTGACTTCTAGAAACTTCTGGACGCTTCTAAGTTTGCCACTTTTAAGGGAGTACACCTCGGCTTTCCCAGCGCGGCCACGATGGAAGCATGGCTTTGTTTGCAGTGAGAGGGCCGGCGCTGGTTCTGGGCCACTGACCTTCTCCAGCTGGTATCCGCAGGTGGCGAGAGGTACACGGTGCCGTATGGGCAGCTGTCCACGTGCGCGTGAGTTAAGGGGGTGGTGCGGCTGGCTCAGGCCCTCCCTGAGCCCCAGGACCCCTGCATGGGCCAGCCCGAGGAGCCAGGCTGCTGGGAGGCTGCGAGCAGCTGGGGCCTCGGGGCGGGGGGCCTTTCCTGCCTGGCTGCGAGCAGCCCCCAGGGTGCAGCCCCGTCCACCTAGCACTCAGCACTCACCCCCTGCAAGCGCACGTGCGGGCTGCACCCCTTCCAAGAGAGGCCTCAGCCGTGAAACGGGGGCCCGTGGGGGCGGGGGGGCTGCAGGGAGTCTAGTTCAGCTGACCCCGGCCTTGACTCTTAATTCTGGGCTGACGGGGTGGCTCCCGGGGCCCCGAGAGCTTGGTCTGGGGCCCAGCTGCTCAGGCTCCCCCAGCCCATGGAAACAAGAGGCAGGAAAGAACAGCCTTCTCTGTGCTCGAGAGCTGGGCTTCCCAGGAGCAGTCACTCAGATGCTGGGGGCGGGGGAGGCTGGCTGGCGAAGCACCAAGGGGCAGCCAAGTCAGTGGGGGGTTGGATGGGGGGATTCCTGACAGTTTTCCCTGCTTGGCCAAGGTGCAAAGGCAAATCCTGTGTCTTCCGATAGCCTCCCTCTGATCTGTCTGGGTCTGGCTCAGGTTCAGATCCCCCTCGAGCCCCATGCCTTGGCTGGGCTGCCCTCCATGTGGCCCCCGGAGGGTTCACCACCATGGCCCTGACGTGTGGATGCCCGGCTCACAGCTTTCCTGGGCCCCCCTGCCCAGGCAGGCATCTGAGTGCACCCTCCCCAATCATATCAGGCTGTGTGCTCCAGGGGACTCTTCAGTATCACTGTTCCCTGTGCTCCCCTAACCCCCAGCCTGGCTAAAGGCTCCTCAGCTTGCACTGCCTCCTCCAGGAAGTCTTCTGGGATTGCCATGTGATTGTACCCCCGCCTCCTGGTGCTGCCCAGTAGCCCTAAAGACTGAAGCAGCTCTGATTCTATCACGGTGTGGGCAGCAGGCCGCTCTGTCAGCTGGATGAAGCGGTCCCCGCCCAAACCCCCACCCCCCACCCCCGCTGCCCACATCCTCTGGGAAAAGGATATCTGCCTTCCGTGTTTGTCCACTGACAGGGGCCGGCGATGCGGGGAGCCCAGCCGGCCACGCTCCCGGTACACTCTGTCCACTAGCCCATGGTGCCGGGTAGTTCGGCTGGTGTCCAGGCCCGAGGACTGGAAGGGTGTCTGGGGGTGGGGACGGGACCAACGCGGGGAGGGAGGAGAGGAAGAGGCGGAACAAGAGAGAGAGGAGCCCACACCACGGTTATCGGCTGCGATCTGAGATCTGACCCCCAGAATCTGACCTCAAGGTCCCCCTGACAGCGCCCCCTTGCCCGGCTCTGGAGACACCCTCGGCTATTCCAGATGGGCCTCCTTTCCTCTGGGGACCCTGCCCCTAGCCTCTGAGCACTGTGGGGGGGGGGGGCGGCGAGCCGGGGGTCCCAGGCACCGGGGTGGCAGGCGTGCAGTGCAGCCGGCATGCACGGGCCAGGCAGAGCGGCGCAAGCTCGGGGCCTGGTGCCGGCTGGGGTGCCAGGGTGCAGAGGGCCCCCCTCCAGCCTCGCCAGGTGCAGGCGGGCCTCCGCCCTCTCTCTCCGGGCCTGGCCGACCTCCTCTCCCCACCTACGTCATCCCTGGAGGGGCCTGCCAAGAGACAGCCCCAGGGCTTCCAGCCCAGGACGTCAGGGGCCCACCTGGCCAAGTACTGGCTCCCCGGAGGCTCCTCGGCAAGCCTGGGGCTGGTCTTGATTGAGACTCGACCCCCGCGCACCCTCCCCCACGGCCTTGTCCCAGCTCCACTGGGAGCCAAGTGCAGGCGTGCTTTCCGGAGCCCTGGCCCACAGCTTGGCCGGACAGGGCTCCCTTCCAGAACCTGGGGCTGGCATGAGGCCCCCGGTCAGACCCTGCTCCCGCCCCGGAGGTCCCCAGGAGCCTGCTCTCCGCCTGCCCTGGCGCCACGGGGCCTCCACACCATCTGATGGGGGCAAGACTGGCAGCCTTAGCCTAGCTCTGGATGCTCCCCTACCCAGCCATCTGGCCCCTGGGCCCTTCTCTCTTCTCTGCACAGCCAGGCGAAAAGCAATTTCCTCGGGAAGCCTGCTCCTGGCGGCCTCATCGCTCTGCCCCACCTGTTCGAACACCTCAGCTAGCACTCGGGGCTGACTGCTCTCCCTGGTGCCCGGGGACCCGTCTTTCTTGGACCCAGCGAGGAAGCAAGGACCCTGCCAGCTTGGGTCTTTATGTGTTTCTGCCTCCAAAAGGCTGCAGGCCCGGGAGACGGCAGCGACCTCACCATCCAGGCATGGGGACCAGAGGGCACAGGCCGTTCATCTCCTCCCAGAGATGTCTGGAAGTCCAGAGGGGAAACTGAGGCAGCTGAAGCAGAGCCAGAGGCAGAGAGCAGCTCAGACCAGCCACAGCCCTGCTCGCCAGGCCAAGTCCAGGGCCTGCGCACACGTGTGTGCGTGTGTCACAGGAACGAACCCATGCAGCGTCAGCGTGCATGCTCGGATCCCCAGGGCAGGGGTCTCTGGACGTGCCCACACGCACCTCCCCAGACCAGAGGGGGCTGTGCGGATCTGCTTCCACTGGCAGAGGGGACACCTCCCACGGGGCCACAGGGGCGGCCGCACAGGAGTACCTAGCGCCCGCGCACGTGCCGGGGATGCCGAGACCTCAGCCCAGGGGCTCATTTACCAGAGAGACAGGAGCCGCTGCCAGAGCCTCCCCCAGAAATCCGCTGGGCTGAAAATGCAAAGAACCGAGACTTTGAGACACTCCTGCCTCGCCTGGTCCCCCAGTGGGAAACCCAAGAGGCCCCCCTTGGCCCTTGGGGGCCCTACGGTAGCCCCAGACTGGGCCGAGCTTGGGGGTGCCCAGAGAGAAACACTCCTTGAGGAAGGAAGGGGAGAGGAGGGGAGAAAACCCAACGAGGAAGGGCCCTGACCCAGAGGAGCAAGACGGCCTGGTGCCTGTGCTCTGACGTGGAGGCCATCGGAGGCGGCCCTGGGGACTCAGAGCTGAGCCAGCCTGTGGGATCCAGGGCCCCACCACATCCCCGCAGCGGCATGGGAGGAGCACAGCTGGGAAACGAACAGGACTGAGCTCCCTGCGGGGCCGACACAGCTCCACCTGGCCTGTCGGCGCGCACACGGACGTGGCTGTTTCTGGGGCTCTGTCCCAGCCGCAGGACAGGTGTGCGGCTGCTCAGCGGCCCTGTCGCTGCAAAGCCCAGACACCATGCTGGGGGGCGAGGGGGGCAGGTAGCTCTCGGCCGGCTCCTGGGCCCACCATGCCCCCACTTCCACTGCAGACCAGGGTGGAGGGACGGGGCCCGGGGGTGGGGGAGAGGCGGGCGGTGGGCCTTATCTCTTCTTATTTATGATAAGGATGTGCGCGGCAGCTACGCAGCCTGCAGGAGCCGTGCTGTGTACGTCTCTGCCAAGAAACGTTTGCAGACAAGTGGGGTCAGGCCGCGGGGCCTCCTTCTGAGAATTGCTGGGCGTGCGGATTAGTGAAGCGGGACGGAGCTAAGCCCCAGAGGCCCTGAGCGGTTCCCGGCGCCGCACAGCCGGCCAACAGGTGTAGCGGCTGCCGAAATGCTCACCGCCAGACCTTGGCCTTGCTGCGGGGTCTGCTGACAGGGGACGGGCAGGGGGGATCCGGGTGAGGCCTGGCCAGGCCATCCCAGGGGAAGGAGTGGGCGGGGGGGGCGGTGTGTGGCAGAGGGACAGGTGGCAGCAATTGCCTGGTGATCCCCGACGTTCACAGGCTTGCTTACAGGCACTCTCGCTCTGGGGCAGGGTGGGGCCCGGCCTGCAACACGCTCCAGGTGGGAGGTGGCGTGGGGGAGGCATGGGGACTCACCTGGAAGGGCAGATCCACGGTGCCGCTCCCAATCTGGTTCACGTTGGGCAGGGACCCGCCGTAGTACTGGCCACGGCTCGGGCCCAGCTGCAGGTACTGGGACTTCTGGAGCTGGAGCTGCAACAGAGAAGCTGACAGCTATAGTGGGAGGAAGGGGAAGACGTCTCCTGAGCACACCCCGAGGAGCGCCTTTCCCGAGGGCCCTATGCGTGACACCAGGCACAGAGGACATGGGGATCCCGTGACTCAAGATTCTCAAAGGAGCCAGGAACCAGCAGAATCAGAGACCCAAGATGCCTCAGATGGCCCACCCCAGGCAGGGAAACTCGCCTCCCCATCCGGGAGGGTGCTGCCTCCGTGAACTGGAGGGAGCCTCACTGGCTGCTTCGAACAACTGGTGAATAAGCAAGAGTATCAAGTGGACCTGGAGGCTGGAAGCCTGTGCTAGAGGCCCCTCACCCACCCGGGGGAGCCATTTCTTATCACGCCAAAGGCTGTGTTCCTGGGGCGCGGGCCAGAGGCTGCGAATTTACGCCCGGACACGGCAGAAGTTGTCTTTCCACTGGTCTGAATCAGAGGGGCCGGATCTGAAGTGCAGCGCTAGCTTTTCAAAGTACAGCATGAGCCGGCCTGCCAGATCCTGCCTGAGTTCTAAGGAGTCCGGCCCAAGCCCCCAGGCCCCCTCTGCCTGTCCCGCCAGTCTCACCCACTGGAGAGCCTTCCTGCGGGCTGGCCACATCCCTGCACGGTCCTCCGCCATTCACTCACACGTGGATTTGTCCCCCTGGGCCAGGACTCAGAATCGAGAGCCTGGGGCTCCCTGACCGGTCACAGCTGCCTCCAAGCAGGGCTGAGACCTGGGCTTCCCTCGCCAGAGCCTCGATTCCACTTCGCCAGGAATAGCAGATGCTCCTGACCCGGCTGACACCACCGGTGGCCTCCGGGCAGGTCCCCAAGGCCCATCAATCTGTCCTGGGATGCAGTACCGTGACAGGGGCGGCTGCCGGGCACCAGGGGAGGGGTGAGCGTCCACCACGGCTGGCTGGGACGTTGCTAGGGTCGACACTGTGTACACAACAAGAGCAGCTCACGTTCCCTCGCAAACAGCTCCTGGCAGCGCGCCGCTCCCTGGCCGCCCACACCGCCCCACTCTCCCACGCCAGCCCCGGCTTCCTGGGGGGCCTTGGACACCGGAGGGGGAAGCGAAGCTCAGGAACTGGCTGCTGGCCCAGCCGAGCACCTCACCCAGGTAAACAGCTGTTTCCCGTGAAGGGCGGCAGGGCTGAGAGGGAGCCTGACCCTGCTCCATTCCGCCACGGGTGGCTCTCAGGCCTCCGCTGGACCCAGACCCTGACTCCAAACGCTGGAGATGTTCGCCGTGAACACCCTGGGTCCCTCCTCCCCAGGGCCCCAGGTCACTCAGGATGAAACAGGCCAGCCCCTGGTCCGGAGGGGTCAGGTGAGGCCAAGCAGGGTGGGCTCAGGTGTCCTTGGACCCAAGACCCGCCCCCCAGGCCCTTCTTGGGTCTGAGCCACAGGGCGGGAACCCACATTATCCCCACCTCTTGAGGACCACCCGGCCCTGGAGGCCGACAGCCCCCTACTGAGCCTCAGTTTCCGCTCCCAAAGAGCGGGCTGTTCAGACTGAGTGTGTGTGCACGTGTGAACGCCAGGCGTGCAACACAGGAAGTGCTCGCATCACACCTTCCGGGCCGAGGGAGCCGAGAAGGGGAACGTGCTGCTCACGGCTGTGTGTCTGCGATAACGCTGGCCCTCCCAGCCATCTCGGCCGGAGCCTCTCCTTCCCACAGGGGCCCCCAAACCCCATCCGCTTTGTCACGGGAATGTCAGGCTTGGTGGTACAGCCTCTGGAGTGGACCCAGCGTGGGGCCCCTCTCCTCTGGGGAAGCCCCGTGCTCATCCTCGGTTGTACGTGGAGCCTCGCAGACAGGCCGCCCCAGGTGGCTCAGTTGGTAAAGGATGCCTGCAGCGCAGGAGACCTGGGTTTGATCCCTGGGTTGGACCTGAGTCGGGAAGAGCCCCTGGAGAAGGGAATGGCTACCCACTCCAGTATCCTTGCCTGGAGAATCCCACGGACAGAGGAGCCTAGTGGGCTACAGTCCACAGGGTCACAAAGAGTTGGACAAGACTGAGCGACTATCACTTTCACTTTAAAGAGTTAACCTGGCCCACGGCTGTTTGACCTTTGCTCCCAGTTCCTGGGAAGTGAAAGTCCTGCCACAAAAAAGTGTATTTGTTTGCCTGGGGCCCCAGACCACACAGGGTATCTCTGCTAACAGTGTGGGCCAGGGTGCGGGGCTCAGGCCACTGAGGTTCGCAGCTCTTCCTCTGCTGGGGCTGCGTCTGTATGGTGAACCCCAGGAAAAACCCTGGACACCAAGGCTTGGGGAGACCCATGGCTGCCAGCCCCCAGGCATGTCACCACACACTGGTGCTGGGAGAAGCAAGCACTGTCCACGTGACTCCACGGGGAAGGCAGTCCTCCAGCTCTCTCTGGAAGTCTCCTGGCCACTGCCCCATTCCAACTGAGACCTGCGTCCTTTCCCTGTAACACAGCATGACCGAGGGCACCGCTGACGGTCCAGTAGCTAAAGAATCCAGCTGCCGATGCAAAAGACACGGGTTGGATCCCTGGTCCGGGAAGGTCCCACATGGCACGGGGCAACTAAGGCCGTGTGCTGCGCTCCAGAGCTCGTGATCTGCGAGAAGAGAAGCCCCCCAACAGAAAGCCCAGGCACCGCAACTAGAAAGGGGCCCCCGCTCGCCACAACCTGAGAAAGCCCGCGCACAGCAACAGACCCAGTGCAGCCGGAAATAAAGACAAATGGACAGACAGAACTTCTAAGAAATAGACCATGACCATGAGTATGAAGGTCTGCAGTGACTTCTGAGTCCTTCCAGTGAACCGCTGAGCTGAGTGTAGTTTTTTTCTTTTTTTTTTCCAGTCGCTCAGTCGTGTCTGACTCTGTGACTCCATGGCCTGCAGCCTGCCAGACTCCTGTCTATGGGATTCTCCAGGCAAGGATATTGGACTGGGTTGCCATTTCCTTCTCCAAGAGATCCTCCTGACCCAGGGACGGAACCCAGGTCTCCTAAATTGCAGGCAGGTTCTTTACCATCTGGGCCACCAGGGAAGTCCTAGTACAGTATTGGGATCCCTCAATTTCTGCAGCTGGTGTCAGACGTGAAGGTGGTCTTAAGGGCCCATTAACTTTCGCAGGGGCTGACTGCTGTCCCATGCCTGGCCAGGAAACCCCAGGAGTAAGTAGACCCTGGGTTGAGGAGGTGCCAGCCTGGGCTCCACCCATGGACCTGATGCCTCCAAGGGTGCCCAAGGAGGACAAGAGAGTGACACCATGGGGCAGCATCTGACCAATGCTGGGCACAGACCTCAGGCCTCTCCCCCATCAAACCCAGTCCCTCCCGCATCCCTCTGCCCAGAGGCTCTGGGAGGCACTGCCCACCCCACCCCCAACCTCACCATAAACCCAGTCCCTCCCGCATCCCTCTGCCCAGAGGCTCTGGGAGGCACTGCCCACCCCACCCCCAACCTCACCATAAACCCAGCATCCAAGCCAGGGTCTAACACTCAGCAGCACCTGCTGGTGGAACAAAGGAGCACAAGAGCTCATGAGTGAATAACCGAATGGACAAATGAACACCACGGTTCCCACGCTCGGGAGCAGACTTCCACGACCCAGGCGACAGCTCCACTTGGAGGCCGGCCATGCGAGAACCTTTCAGGACACTGACACAACCCCTGATGCCCTGAGGAGACTTGGGCCTGCCCTTCCCCTCGCCCCGTTCTCGTGGGTTTTGGCGGAAGGCAGCATGGCAGGGTGGTGACGCCTGGACAAGACCTGCTGGTACGGAGGAGCTATGCCTCTCAGGTGCCCCCTGGCTTCTGGCCCGAGGGTCAGACAGCCTGAGGTCCAAGACCAGGCTCCCCCACGGTGAGAGCAGAACCCACTCCAGAGGCGGAGAGTGGGAGGTGCCCTACCACCCACACCTTCACAGGGGCCTCCCTGCCCTCCGCGCACCCCACTCCTCACTCCCTCCAGACATCCGACCCCAAAGCACCCCAAGTTTGTGCTCCCCCTACCCCAGGGGGCTGCCTGAGACAGCTCCCCCTCCGCATCCACCCTGGAGGGGCCTCCCTGACACCCCACTCAGGGAGCAGGCCCCCCAAGTCACCTTCACATTGGCCTCTGGCTTTGCTGTTACTGCTGGTGTTATGAGGCATGTGGGATCTTAGTTCCCCAACGAGGGATGGCCTCTCTAACCCCAGCATTTGAAGCACCGAGTTCTAACCACTGGGCTGCCAGGGAATTCCCACTGTTGTTGCTCTTAACCTCCGTTTTTATTATGCAAGTTTTAGGTTCACAGAAAAACTGCGAAGATGGTAGAGGGAGTTCCCGAATTGCCCACCCAGCTTCCTCTAAAGCCACCCTCTTCCTCCACTGAGTTAAAAGGAAGAAAATCACAACAGTAAGGGCTCCACTGACCCAGACTCTTCCCACATGCCTCCTGGTTCATCTAACCACATTTGTGCGATCCACAGTGCCTGGCCCTTGACTCCCCACTGTTGCCGTGGCTGAGACTCTTTGCATCCAAGGCAAGGGTGTGGGTGCAGTCCCAGACCAGGGAACTAGATCCCACATGCCGCAACTAAAGATCCCCGTGGGCTTCCCTGGTGTCCAGTGGATAAGAACCCGCCTGCCAGTGCAGGGGACACGGGTTTGATCCCTGTCTGGTCCAGTGGTTGGGAACCTGCCCATCAGTGCAGGGGACACGGGTTCCATCCCCGGTCCGGGAAGGTCCCACGTGTCGTGGAGCAACGAAGGCCACGCACAGCTCCTGAACCTGTGTGCGGCAACTAGTGACGTCACTGCAGCGAGCAGCCTGTGCACCGCAACGAAGAGCAGCCCCCATCCACTGCAGCCAGAGAAAGGCCGCTCACAGCAACGAAGACCCAGTGGAACCAAGAATAAATAAATACTAAAAATAAAAGACCTTGTGTGCTGCCAGTAAGACCCAGTGCAGCCAAATAAATAAATTCAACATTAAAACAAAACAAACGCACGCCTGACCTGAGA